GTGGGGGTGAGTGGGCCGCACCACTCCATGAATGTGGCTAGAAACTGGCGTATTCATGTGACTCTTTGTTCCATGACTGTCTGTCATTCTCATGGGATTGGACTTCTGTACAGAAATGTTTGGACTTGTATTTCGACCCTGAATATCTCCTGAGGAAGAAGAACTTGAAAAAGGAATATTTAAAGCACTGTTCCTTGTGTTAATTGCACCGATAGACATGTCACAGCTTTCCCTGTTCTGACCTTCGCTGTCTCTTCGGATGTGGACACTTTCTCGTGCAGTGGGGCAGTTATATTCAATTGTGGAGGAGGCACCACGCTGAGTATTCCTTTGATGTTCTGGGATTGATCTTTGGCTTCCACTTACTTGATCTCCAATGTGAGGGGCTAGTAAATTCTGCACAAAACTTTGTTGGCATGTATTTTCATTTTCTCTTGGTGGAAGAGAATTTGCTGTTGGAATACCCTGAATGGGTGGATAGGGTAATCTCTTCTGTCTTTCTATGGGAGGGCCAGGATTTTGACTAATTCGAAATGCTTGTGATTGCATGCCCCTTAGGGACGACACAGAATGACCAATTTCACTGTTTCTTGAGGCCTGTACATCAAAACTGCCTGTTGGCTGTTGGCTAGGTCCGGCTGACTTAAATGTCTGACAATCAGAAAGCCGCTGCACATCTGAGCCAACTGTATGATCAACAGATATACAGCCCTGTATGTTATGAATGGCTATTCCTTTATTTCTAGAAACATCAAGGTAGCTTCTCATTTCAAGCTGGTCAGGAACTCTAGGGCCTTGAAGAGATAATCCTGTTCTCTGTTCTGAATTAGATGTCTTCCCAATGAGTGCCTCAGCAGAGTAACTAGAAACTCGATTTCTTTCCTGCCTGTGTGGGGTGCATGTCATATCTGATGGTCTGGTTACGATACTTGCTTGGGACACCATTTGTTGCTCTAATCCCCTTGAGGTCATGAGTCTCTGTATCCAATTATGCCCTGACACATGTTCGAAAGCTGAACCTTCCTGTCTGTTGCTGACATCTTGTTGCTGTTGATGCATAATATCCTGATTTATATGGCTCTGAGAGAGATTGTGATTTCTGCTTGTTCTTGGATTTTCACAGTTCTTTTCAGGCTGGGAAACTCCAAAGTGCTGCTGCATCTGCTGCTGCATTTGTTGGTGGTGAGGATGAGGCTGGCCACTTTTTTGACGTGTTTGATCACTTCCATGATGTTTTTGCTGTAAAGAAAGTTGTGTGGCTTGACTTCCCTGGACAAGATTTCGTTTCTTTTGCATTTGTACCTCCTGTTGTATTGTTCGCTGTTGGTGGACACTGTGGGGTTGAGAGTGCACTGAGTTTTCCCCATGAGTGACATGATGCTGCAGCTGATACAAGTGGTGCCTCTCTCTCAACTGTCCAGCCTGTTGTTGTTTTAAGTACAGATGAGTACTATGAAGATGAGACATGCCTTGAGCAGGAACATGTTGAATAGGCTGCAAGTGCTGCCCTGTCTGGCCTTGCTGCTCTGAAATTGAAAGTTGAGAACTACACTGAACTTCTGTTTGTCTCAAAGCTGGTGATACAAAGTTACTGTTTGATGGGAATAATCTATTAAGGCCATCAGTATGCCCTTGATTGCTCACTGATGGCACTGAATTGGATGAATTAGGAGGAAGCTGGCTGACTATCATTTGTGTTTGATCAGCAATACCCTCAGGTGTTCAGTTCATCAATGTCATCCCTTCAAGCCTTATAGGTATTGTCTGGCACTGCTTTTGCCTTTTTGCTGTAGAGAGAAGAAGGTCATCCTGAACAGTCTACTTGGCAGAGTCTTTGCGACCTTCGTGACCTTGCTGCTTTAAGTGTGATTCCTGCAGCTGGGGAGTGTGAATGGTGTTTGCCCTAATAGTAATCAGTTGTTCCTGAGCATACTCATTCATCATAGCTGGTCCTGGAGACTGATTTATGTAGGAATTAGATGGACTAGAGAGACACACAGTGGCAGAAACACTTGCTGGCTCTGAAGGCTGGGATAAACTTGAGCAACTCACCAGGGGATGGACAACGTGTCTCTGCTGTATTAGATTATTTACACTTAAACTGGTTATGCTTGGTGATTGGGATGCTGTAATCTGCAAAGTGTTTGATGTTGTCACAGCTCCTACCGAACAGCTTGTTTTTTCAGCTTGTCTATCAATACTTTTTTGTACTATATCCTGAGCACTGAATTTGTTTGGTGTGATTTCTAGCTGTCCTGTATTGCTATCTTTCACTGCTTGCAGCTTATAAGGCTCTTTCTCCAAGGGTGCAACATCAGTTCCTTTAGAGACAGCAACCCTCATGTTAACTTGTATTGCTCCTCCACCTTTCTCAAGGTTTTCCTGGTCAAAAATAGCTCTTGCTGCAAGAGCTACAATGTCAGTTTGTTCTGAAAAAGTGTAGCTATTAGAAGTATTTGTTGATGTACTGCTAACAACATCTCTAGTGGTATCTGGCAGCATAGATGCAACAGAGAATCCTCGACTGCTCCCAGAGCTAGTTGACATTGGCGAGTCTGCCTGTCTGCTAGCAATAAGGGAAGCACTAACTACCTCCTGATCAGAAATGCAAGTATGATGTTGCGAAACAGTATCACTTTCTGTGTTCATTAGCAAGAGTTCCTGCTTCTGAGGATTAACATTTGCATCTGCCGACTTAGAGTTTTCTGTAGGAAAATTAGAATGACCCTCCTGAACTGAAAAAGAAGAGTTTTTTTCCACAGTGGTTCTTTCTTTTGTGAAATCAGAGAGCATTTTGGTAAAACCTTGTCCCTCTAACAAGTCTGTGTCTTGCAATACAATTGAAGAATCTTGATCAATGCTGCAGGACTCTGAAATTGTCCCTGTCTCACAACTATGATCTGTTGTGTTGCTTTGTGCTACTGATGTCCCAGCAACCTGAGAATTTGTCACGTGTGCTTCAGTAAGAGAGGATGTTAAGATGCTGGAGGTTTCACAGGGTTTGGAAGACTCCGGCAAGACAGAATCAGGTGGTGGATTGTTTGGAGAGCTGTGTGCTTGCTGAAGAGCAGCATCTTTGGCAGTTGGAGAGATCAGCACTAACTGTTCTGACATTGCTAACTCAAGCGGTGAGGAGCTGGGTATCTCTGCTGAACTAAGCCCTGGTTCAGAGCAGGATCTCACTGTCTGTTCAGAGCTCACAATCTCTTTGGAATGATAGTCAGAAATGCTTACATGACTTGATGCTACCACCCTGCTTGCCTGTGATGTAGGTGAAGTTTGGGATACTGCAGGTGTGTTTTCAAGCAACCCTTCCACATTTGAAGACTTGACCACAGTTTCTGCAGTAGCACAATCAACCTTTCCTACATCTTTGGAAGGAACTACTGGACAAGACACTTTACCACCGACTGCTATGTGCTTTTTTGTACTGGCCTTCTTGTTTGTTCTTTTTGATTTTGCAGTAGATGGCAAAGGAGCAGCAGCCTTTTGGGGGGAAGCATTTATTAGATTAGATGCACTAGTCAATGTAGAGCCTTCTGAAGGTACTGAAGTTGCCACACAAGTTGGTGATGACACACAGTTAATTGTAGCTAACTGGTTATTGTCAGTTGTTGGATTGGTAGGGTGACTGAGAGAGAGATGTAAACAGCTTTGTCCAGCCATTTGTGAAATACTTTGATTGAGATTAGCTAAAGCACCAAGTGTATTGAGGGCAACATTGGTATTTGGATCTTCACTGGTGGTGGGTTGAATAATTTGCATAGGGGCTTGATTCGAAGCTCCAGCTGAAGATATCACTGGCTGCAATGCAAACAGCTGCCCATTTAATGAGATAGTCTGAGGATGCTGTTGATTTGACATTGTAACTGAAAACGTTTGTGTAGAGCTAGAAGATGGCAGAGATGAGGGCCTTGGTAATATGTGGACAAGGTGTTTCCCTCCAAAAGTCTGTGGAAGAGGGACATTTTGTACAGAACTGCTAGAGTTTGTGCTTGGAGTAGGCCCATTTGTGGGAATTCTTACAGAAGTAGAAGACTGTGCAGAGAGGAGGGGAAGAGGATTCTGATTAGCAGCTTGTATAATTACAATCTGCTGACTAACATTTTGGCTAGGAACTTCTGCTCTCACAACTGGAGGGCACGGAGTGGTGGTTGGAGGCTGGAGAATTATGACATTCTGGTTAGCTGCTGCTCCTTTAACAGCTGACCCAACAGGATGAGCCATCTGAATCACCTGCATAGCTGAATTCAATGGAAGGATATTTCCTGCAGCCTGATTTTTAACTTGGGTCTGACTGATTAATGGCTGCATAGGTAAGGATGGGCATGAGGGCAAAGTAACAACAATTTGTTCAGCTGCTTGCCCTTCTCCAGGCAGAGAAGTACTCAAACTGATGCTTGTAGTCAAAGGCCTGCTGTGAGCAGAAGATACAGCACCAGTACTGTTAAGTGGTTCATTTAATAGTGCCGTCATTATACTAGATGATGTTTGGCTTAGTGGCTGAACAGTATTTCCTGCCAACTGCAAAGTTGTCCATGTGGTCTGGGTGTTTCCAGCTAAAGGCATCCGTGTAAGGCTACTCATGTTTTTCAAGTCTGAAGGGACAAGACCAGAAGAAGCTGAAAAAGACCAGCAATTCTCTAGGGGACTGGAAGGCAGAGTGCTTACTGCCGTTACAGCCCTAATTCCTTCTATTGCAGAAGTCGCGGCACTGCTGACTAAGGCTGTATTTTTGAGGACAGCTGCAGAAGGCAAATCATCTTCTGTAGATAATCTCACAGATGGCATACAACCTACATCAGTGGTTGAAATTACACCACTTACTGGCAGTTCGTTTCTACAATTGTGTGTTTTTAAGCAGGTCTTATTCACCCGTTGAACTTGAAAGGCTTCAGTGGAGGCACTAGGAGGAACGCTGACAGCCTGTGGGACCTTTTTTTTTGTTAATTTAGTGCCTTCCTGATAATTTTTACTTCTGGGGAAATTCTGAACACTCTGTGGTGTATTACTTGAAGAACACTGTAGTCGTTGCTCTATTCCAGAGCAAGAAATGTTTTGTGAGCTGGTAGGAGCAGTAGTGAGCACTCTTCGTTCATTCTCTGCTGTGGAAAGCTCAAGGAGGTTCCCTGCTAGAACTGTCTGAGCGAATGACAGTGGAGAAACTGTAGTTTGAGACCATGGCTTGTTTTCTGTGGGATAAATACCAGAAATTGTCACAGGAGTCACTAGGCTGCAAGTTCTCTGCACTGGAACAACATTGGCTGTTTGCTTTTGTAAATTATGACCAACATTAAATGTTATTCCCTGGACAGATGCTCCCTGGTTATTTCCGTTGGGCTGACTCCCATTTGAATAGACAATGATGTTCTTCTGAACCTGATCAGTGGGAATAACAACTGAGACCTTTGCATTTTTGATATTCCCTTTCCAGTGGATTGTAGGATCATCATACAGACAAATATCATTTGCTTTCAGCAGTTCAATATATCTCCCATTTTCCTTCTGGAGGTCATCCAGCTGTTTCCGTAGCTTTTTTATCTCTTCAGCTACAAAACAGTGAGAGCATTCCATTACATCAGTACCAGTTTGAATACTAGGTAACGTTTCATATAATTTGGAGAGTAAGTGCTATGTAGAATAAAGATAAATTGTTAAAAATGTACATTCTCTTCAAATGCTTAAGGCCTAAATGTAAATGAACACTCTTGATAAAACTCTCTGCTGAGCAGGAGAGGAAATGAACCTCCAGTAACACATACATACACACACACACACCACACACACACACATATATGTATCTCAGGAATAAATCAGAGGACACTGTGAATGCTTTTTTTTTTTTTTTTTAAATGACCAAAGGAAGGACAAACCTTTGGAAGAACTAAAACTGTTTTTATTTAACTGGTAATCTTATGGCTTTCTAGGATATTTTTCATTACATATATAAAAAATGATGTGCAAATTAAATACAAAAACATGTATGTAAAGCCACAAGAGCAGGCAATGTACTTGGAGATAGCTCACCTAACAAAACAGTGAAAAAAAAAGTCACCTAGCTTTTTCAAAGCAAGTGTAGGAAAAAATAAAAATGAACTGTTTAGAATTTCATTCTGTAGGGAGAAAGAAAAGTCATAAATGACAGTTATCTCCGAGTTCATTTCTGTCATTCCTCCACTGTTTCATTTTCATACATCTGTTCAGTAAGATCTGATATGATGTATTATGATGTATTTTTTAAAATATGCTATTATCACATTTAAGTACATGACAGGAAAAACAGCTCTATGCATGAAGGAATACCCCTCACTCAAAAACACATAACAAATTTATCAGAAGTTATTCTGGTCATTGCAGCTTTTGACAGCAGGTACTCAGCTAGTCAAGCAGAATAAGTCAGGGTGGAGTCTACAAATAATGTTCTATTACATGCAAGTACTTACTGTATATCACAACATGGTTGCTTCAGCACCTCATTGTTATGAGCAAGAATATCCACCTGGGCTTTTCTTTAGTTTCTTATTTTCAGGTTATCCTAAGCAGCTATATTTTCTCTCTATGTGTATAATGCTTTGGGATTTCTCAGGTTTGTTGATCCAGGGAAAATAAGAGCCCCTGACTTTTTTATTGATCAATACTTACACAAGCATAGTGAAAGTAAATGACACAAATTGTAGAACCTCCAGTTGTAGCATTTACTTACCCTGTTCGCTGTTTCCTCCATTTAACAGAAGTTCATCATTCTGTCTTTTCATTTCTGTTATATACTTAAAGGCCTGATCCAGGATCATGTTCTTGCTCTTTAAAAGCAAGCATATAAAAAATTAGGAGAAAAATCTGTCATTCACACACCTGATGAGACTGTGCTGATCCGAACAATTCTACAAATGTTGCTTTTTAAATGAACCTCAAGTTTCATAAGAGATGCTGATGTTAAATGCCATGAATTTTTATAAAATGACGCGTTCAATGAAGAAGCTACCACTTTTTGATACCAAAAACGAGATGCTAAGCCATGGAATCCAAACAGCAAGCATCACTGACTGCTCAACATTCTAATATTCTTGTTCACTAATAAACATACATCACAATAAACCTATGCATCACATCCTTACTGGACATGGTACCTGGGCAGGCTGCTCTAGCTGACCTTGCTTAAGCAGGAGAGTTGGACCAGATGATCTCCATAGGCCCCTTCAAAACTCTTCTGTGATTCCATGATCACATGAATCTTCCAGGACATTGCTTTGCAAATGAATTTGCAAATTGAAAAGAAACCAATGTTGAAGAGTTATCCAGACAGATGTATAAATGATTTTTAAACTAATCTACTTGATAATTTAAGAAGAGAAAATATATTGTAATCCCCACTATATTCTCTTTATAACACTATATTTGCTAAACTTCTTGTTTCCTCATTTCTTTCTTGTTCTGCTATTCTCTAGAAACTGCTATCGACAGACCAATCTCTGCTGTAGACCATTCTAAAGACCAAAAAAGCCAGCTTCAAGGCATCAGCCTCAAACACTTGTATCATCTTTCACAAGCACACTGTCTTGCTTGCTCCTACTGCCCTTATTATTACAAGGCTGAATTGCTTTCCTCCCATTATACAAAGGGCTCTACAAAAATAAGGATGGGTGCTATTATATTTACATGACATAAAGTGATCAGCTATCAGAAGAGGGCAAAGAAGGGTTTAGGAAAATTACCTGAAAAATGATATTACTTGACTCGTAGGTTTCACCTCTCAAGCATCATACAGACTATATTCAACAGCGTCCATAGAAAACAACCTGGCAAACAGGAGCTGGAAAATCTAACTGGCAACACATTGGCAAGATCCAATCTACTTCTGGGTAGCCTGGATAGGTTTTATCTTCTGTTGTTACTAACATACAGACACTCTTAACGTGGATTTTAGGAGATTGCGAATCAAACGCACAGACATCAAAAAGATGATTAGGTCATTATAGGCAAATTCGTCTATCTTATATTAGACCGAGGTTCATGCACACATGAACCAAGTAGAAAATCCATGTCCAACTGATAACTCTTTCATTCTTCAGCAGCGATACGGAGCACCTTCAGATACGCAGCTTAACATGTGTGCAGCTAAGTTCAATGTGGCTCTGCATTTCCAGTAAGCAATTCTACTGCAAATAATTTTTGTAATACTGTTAACAACCAGGATTTTTGAGCAGTGAGAGTTTTGCCAGTTTGCATGAGGCAAGTAACAAAGCAGTCAGAATCAGAGAATCACAGAATTATTATGGCTGGAAAAGACGTTCAAGATCATCGAGTCCAACCGTAAGCTCTTCAACACCACACCTCCTAAACCATGTCCCTAGGTGCCTCATCTACACATTTCTTCAACACTACCAGGGACAGTGACTCCACCACTTCGCTGGTCAGCCTGTTCCAATGCTTCACCACTCCTTCTGTGTAAAAATTTTTCCTAATATCTAAAGTTTGTGCTCCAGCCCCTTCAGCAGCTTCACTGCCCTTCTTTGGGCAATTACACTTCTGTGAAAAACACACGCAAGCATTTTACAAGAAGTTTCTATGTACATCTGAAAGGATACTTACCTGCTTAAGTGCTGGAGAACAGGGAATGAGTTCTCCAATTCTGTTTATTCCAGCATTTATCTTCTTCTTTCGATGTCTCTCCACTAAGCAAAAGTTAACATGTACTGTGTCATCTGGCTAGGCGAGACAGTACAATAGTACACAACAGCAGCATAACCAGCACCAATCTAAGTGCTCATAAGTACATTATTTTATGTGCTAACAAAATCCTTAGTAATTAGAGAGGAAAAAAAATCCTGTTATCAGATTAATACTCAATGGAATTAACATCTGCTTAAAAAGGAGGGGTGTTCAGGACCCCTTGGTGGAAAAGTTACTATAGCTACTTCAGTTACTACAACTGAAAATTCAGGCTTTACAATGATTTTCAGCTGAGGTTTACTAAATTCTTTTCAAAAGACAAATAAAGATTATATTTATTTTACACATACAGAAAGCAAATACAATAAGATTATGTAAAGAATGAGTTGCAGATTTGGGAATGAAACCTGTATCTCTTAACTAATGCTCCTTAGCATTAAGAGTTAAGTTGAGCTAAGGTGTTAAGTTAGCACCAAAAGAAAAAGTTTAGATTCTGTAAAGTTTCAATCTCCATTTTAAATTTACACTGATGGAACAGCTAATACAGAATATAGTTGAAGCTCAAGATAAAGAGTATGGTTTTTTTTTTATGTTCAATTGCTGTAATTGTTTTGCAATTATGACTGAGAGTAAAGAAATTTTTTAATGAACAGTATTTCCAGCAAATGACCTCTTTTGGAGTGGGTCTGAAAATGATTAATCATGTCACTAGAGGACTACACATTAACCTGTTCACAGCACCTAAATAAACAATTCTGTGCAAGTTTGGAAAACTTTCCAGAATGTTTTTAATCACCTAGTATTCTAATTCTTCCACTATAACCAGCTTCTTTCAAATGGCTTCTATAGCCTTTTTTTTTTTTTTTTTTTTTTTGTAATTGCTGACTGAGGTGCTTTGGTCTTCTATGCAAGCAAAACTATAAGACGCCTTTTTCTCCAAAGAGCCTGCATAAAGTTCTGCCATGGTTCTGTGAAGATTCAGATCAACATATCATGCATTGCTTTGGCTATTGCCTTGTTTTTCATGTTGCACAGGCCAGCCTGGGCAAACAATACTCTACATCTACCATGTTCCTTCACGAAGGGTGCATGAATTTAACTTGAACAGTTTCTTTTTCAGTAGTCTGTCATTTGAGATTACTACAACATCTACTCTTGTTTCCATCCCAAACAACAAAAGATAATGTTCCTACCTGCATTATGTGTCTCTCGGTTTTTCTTTCTATGAAACATAAAAGGAAAACAGTTACGTGAAAGAACGAAAAACGTGTACACAGATTATCTTTTGTATTATTATTATATACTCATTTACAGTTAAAAAAATTAAATCTTATATTCTGCTCTGTGACTAAGAACACATAAGTAATACTCATGAGAACTTGTATTAGACACTAGCATTAAACAGTTTCTAAGGAACAAAAAAAACAACAAAAATACATTAGTTTTCAGAATAAATCAATTCCAACAAAATAATGCACAGCCTAATATTCTATTTGAATATTACTCAAGTGAGAAATTGTTTTTTCTTATGTATAATAATACAACTAAGCAAAAAACAATGTTCAGTAACGCCTTTAATACCAACACAACATAAACATGAAGAGAAAATACAAAAAAAAAAAAAAACACAACAACAAAAAAGCATCTCCTTTCTGAGCAGCAGGACAGGTAATCCTTTCTTTGAAAGGTTACTTTTACATTCCCTGGATCACTGAAACAGTTGACAAGATTACCATACAAACTGATTCTTCCAGATACGTTAACCAAAAATCATACCTGCCGTATTAAACATGCTTCCTTTGCTTAATAAATCATAATTACCAGTCCTCAGCAGTTTTTCTTTACTGACTCTAAATTTGGTCTAAATATACTTTGAGACTATCAGACTTGACTCTATTTTCACATATTCATCTGTGATTTTATTTTATCACATTATTTTATCACATTATCCAAACTTAATATTCATTTTTAATGAAATCATTCTCCCCATCTATCTTCTTTAACTGCCTCTCAACTCCTGCAAACAAACTAAACCCACACAAACAACCAAACACAAAAAAAGGACACCAAACCTTCTCCATTCTTAATATGAAATAGAATGACTTGGCAACCAAGTCATAATCACGCTGTGATGCCTCCAGTTGCTTTACTGGAAGATGATAAATCCCATATGCCTACTCTACATATACAAATCAAATGTACTGCACATACATAAGTCAAATACTCCTGGGAAGTATAGTAAAGCAAAGCAAAACAAAAACAAAATAAAAACAAAACAAACAAACAAAAATGATATCTACAGGGAGTCTCCCCAATAACAGAAGCTGCACTCTAACCCAGACTGAGATACAGTCTCACAGAGATCAGTCTCTGTAATAATCAAAGAATCACATTTGTTAGGTTGCCAAGATAGACATGTCTTAGACTGACAAATAGTTCAGCATGGAGAGGAGAAGGAATAGAGGTGGCTTTGCAGCCATAATTCCTACACTTCGAAATCAACTCAGGTCAGCTCTCAGAATTTCTTTTTAATAGCTCTTCTTGCCAAATCTTTAACTAGAAACTTTAAGGCAGTATATCACAGGCTTCAGAACTACAAAATAGGCTGGTTGACACATTTCAATGTGTCAGTGAATTTTCTTTCGCTGTAAAAACTCACCGGTGCTGCTTCTTAGTGGGGGTCTCATTTTCCCTCATCTCTGGCATGGTTTCAGAGAAGAGAGCCTGAAGAAAATTGAGAAAGGAATTAACTTCTGCAGTCTTCTCAATTTTTAGCACATGGCATTTGTTGCATAATTTTGTCTATAAGGACAGGGCCTTTAAAAAAAACAAAACAAACAAAAAAAAACCAAAAAAAAACCCACTGAAGTCACTAAGGCTCTCCACAATGATGTCACTCCCTGCACAAGCAGAGACAAGCAGATGCTACCCCAGAGAGTCTATAGTCAGCCTCTACCTTCAGACTTGATCTGCTGCACTTCTGCTAGAGCTTATGGCCCATTCCAGAGTGAAGAAACAGGGTGCAGGAAGCATGGAAAAAACACTAAGGCGAAATATTCACACAACTTAACCAGTGTCCCCCAGAGTTGTAAACTATTTTTTTTGCAGGAGGGAAGAGAGAAACAACAAACAACAACAACAAAAACCACACACAGACATCTGTGCACATTATCCAATTAACAAGAAAGTTATGGATATTAAGCATGACACCACATGCAACTCAAGTTTTTATTTCAAGAATGTAATCTAAGAAAGACAGTGAACTTCATTTTTTTCACATTTTTATTTGGTGAGGACAAAACAAAAAAAACCAAAAACAAAACAAACAGTTTGCATTTTACTTGATAAATCTCAAAACAGTTAGAGCTGGCAACACTAGGAAGGGAATATGTAAAAAGTTGCCTAGAGGCTTCTGAGAGTAGATGAGTAATGTTTATACTGTCTTAATTTCTTCCTAGGAGCTGCTGAATCACCAGAGTTTTGATGGTGGATTTTTCTTTCCTTATTCCATTTAGAATAATACTTCATCAAGGAGAAAGTCATTTACTAATGCACTAAGGCAGAAGAGATGTACTTGTTTTGTAAGTTCAAGTAGAAATACATTTTAATTTCACTCATGAAATATGGTTGCTCGACTCATCTGAATGCCCTCTTCAGTCAGAGCTGATGAGACAAATTTCAAATTCTTCATCCAGATTAAAGGAAAACAATTCAACATTTATATTTACTTAGTACCAGGTTTTATTCAAGCTTTACATAGTTTATAGCTTTTACATGGTCAACTGTTTTATTTATTTATTTAAAGGAAGCATCACCCACCGAAATGATTTTGTCTTTCAGAAATGAAAAGATTTTTTGTTTGCCTTTCAAAGAGTTAAAAGTAATTTAAATCTCTTCTGTAGTTCTGAAGAAAATTTAAGTGGAAAATTTTGAAACAAAATATTTAAGTCTTTTGCCAGCTACTTTGCAGATATTATTCAACAACTAATTTTAAGAAATTTGTTCTTCAAAAAACATGCCTGAAGATCCAGCACTTCGTTTTTTTAAGAAGAACTTAGATTAATACAGGAAATAAATGGATAAGCACTTTGCAGCACATTTTTTCAGCAGCTCTTTAGGAAGCATTTCCAAACTTAATATTCATTTTTAATGAAATCATTCTCCCCATCTATCTTCTTTAACTGCCTCTCAACTCCTGCAAACAAACTAAACCCACACAAACAACCAAACACAAAAAAAGGACACCAAACCTTCTCCATTCTTAATATGAAATAGAAATAATTTCTTCTTAACTTGCAGCTACTCAGTCTGTAAGGACTGCCAAGAGTTCACATATGTCTTTTTTTCTCTTAAAACACTTCAGCAAGAATAAGCGTTCAGCTGCATTGCTACAGTCTTACAGTCTTAATAGTCACAAGTTACAGCTAAGACCAAATCCAAGTCATAAATATTTGAGTCATTTTTACTTTTACTATTTAAACTATTTAAACACTATTGTTTTGGGATTTTTTTTTCTGCAAGGTAATGTCCTGTTCACTCATTTGAATGACTGTTGGAGCTGTTTCCCAGTCTTCCTTACATGTTTTAAAACAAAACTAGTTTCAACAGGAGGCTTAAAGCTTTTAACCACAGTATTTTATTTCAGAGCACCTTGTCTATCTACTACCTTTTCTTTATTCTCTCTTGAACCACATATATTCTTTTTGTTCACCTAACAAAATAATCATAGAAAATTAATTTAGAAACCAATCCCACCATGATTGGCATGTAGGCAACCTATTTGCCTAGACAAGTTACCCATTAAGACTACTGTGTAGGAAACGGCAAGGAGTCAGTGACAGGCAGAGCACAGGGTAGCAGACACAGTGCATGTTAGTAGCAGACCCAGTTACACGCTGACCAAATTCCCACCCGGGCCAGGCATCTTCCATTTTGTCAACAACTTCTGGCTGCTTTCCGGGCAATAACTACAGCTGAGATAAGGAAATAGGTCTGGTAGATTTAAGTGGCCCTCATGAACAATGAGTTGATGCCCATTCATCCATCCTGTGTGTCTCACCCATAACTCCAGCAGCCTCCCATCAGCAACTCCTCCTTACAGCTGCCAGGTCCTCCTGATCAGCCTGTAGTGCAAATCCTTTATTAAACCTATTCTGCTTGACTCCTTATGGACCTTGGCGTGTCTCTGTCCACAGGTATCCAACCCTCTCCCATTCACCTTGCGGTCACAGCACCCCAAGATACTACTGGCCTCCGAGGCCACAGGGACACATTGTTGACTCATGAACAATTTGCTCTTCCTCAGGATTCCCAGGTTCTTCTCTGCAGAGCTGCTTTCCAGCAGGTGAGCCCTTAGCCTGTACTGGTGCATCGGGTTAATCCTCCCTAGGTACAGGACTCTGCTCTTGTCTTTTGTGCAGAGAGGAACCTCATGAAGTTCAACACTCTCCAGTCTCTCTGAATAGCAGCACTGTCAAATACCTCTGGGGATATCAGACACTTCTGTGGGTTTAGTATCATCAGCAAACTTGTTGAGGGTACACTCTGTCCCTTCACTCAAGTCACTGATGAACAAATTGAGCAGCATCAGTATACTGGACCCAAGGTACGAGTGACTCCTAGGCTACGACATAAGCTCCGACCTCCAATCAGATTTTGTGCCACTGATCACAACCCTCTGAGCTCTGCTATTCAGTTTTCAAGCCATCTCGCTGTCCGCTCATCTAGTCCATACTTCTTCAGCTTGCCTATGAGAATATTATGAGGTAGTGTCTAAAAGGATTTGATTATTTTATACATTAAAATTGAAATGCTATTTTATAATAGCTTTTATTCTTCATCTGAAAACAAAGACCTGTAATTATATAATTAGCATACAAGATAGAATTATGAAGACCAGAGCTATCACCCTAAGGATTTTTTTCTGTTATTTCATATCAAAATACAGGAGCTGTTAAAAAACACTGGCACTGTTTTCTTCAGACATTCAGAAAGAAATGACCCGGAAAATTCTCATTTTCCTAGTGTTCTTTATGTACTTCATAAAGTACAAAAATAACTACATAACAATTTCATGAAGAAACTGGGAAAGTATGAGGAATGGCTCTAATTTGAAAGACAGTACTTACATCCTGGTGTAAGTGACCCACAGTACACTTCAAAATAGAAAATTATTTTCAAAATGAAGATAGAACAACCCTCTCCTTCATGAAGGAAAATAACTCTGCTTTGATGGGAAAGTAGATACAACAATAGAGTGCTGGCAACTTTCTTATACAGAGGGTCTTCATTTTCTATGTGGATTAGGTTTCCTGCAGTAGTGCCTATGCAGTAGTTGAGACTGAATGCATTCCCACTTCAGTACAATTTACCAAATGGTGAGCCTGCTGGCAGCATGTTGCCTAAAGAACAAAGAATTCCCTTTTGCTGAAAAATATACATTCTCATGGTCTCTGATTTAAAAATAACCATCCTGGTTCCTTTAACAACTGAGGAAACTTTCCATAAGAAAGTTGGATATGAAACACTCAAGACTGATTGAATGAATGTTCAAGTTAAGCTTCAGTATCTGCCAGTCTATTTCTGTTTTCTGATGTGACCCCATCTTTGAGTCACCTTTCAATTCAAGTATCAGTACTTGTCTCAGGGTCTGGTGATCAATCTAAACTCAAAATATTATTTATATTGGCAAAACAGTATTCTTTGTTCCATTTTCTTGCCTTTAACTTGAGCTCTCTTCTGTTGTACAACTGCAAATGATCTTCACGTATTCTGTGTACAAAACTGCATAAGGTTTTGAGATATTAAATTATTCTGGTATTTATTCAACAGACATGGATATCTGTCAAAACAATTTGCAACTCTCTTGAAGACCTTGAAACTGCAGAATATCCTAAAACTGAAATGTGCAACAGTCTCCAGAAAGTTTATACTTTTTTTTACTTGTTTTTTAACTCATCGTTTGGAATGCTTCACTAAGCAAAAAAACCTACATGCTAAAGTTCTCGAGCATTTTATAGGCACCGGTTTGAGAAAGTTGGCACAAACTAAGAGCTTACAATGGGATCATGATACAGGAAGCAGTACTGTACTGAACTTCATTGTAAAACTCCTTTATAATGCCCAGAATAAAATCTATACTGAGATATGGTTGCAACTTTTGGAGTGATGACTTTTCCTTTGAATCTTAATGAAGCTAAAGGCACCAATAATCGGAAGGGGGAACATAGCCAAGGCAGAAGACATTTTAAAACAGTATTTTAGTTTTAATGTAAAAACTCTGCTCTTAGACATATGATTCTAAGTATCCTGTCCTTAGAAGTCATTGGAACTTCCCTTCAGCTTTCAGGATTGACATGGTGCAATACAGCACCTATATGAAAGCACTTCCAAAACACCTGTTCAAGCATCATACTGTCATATTCTTGACAAAAAAAAAAAAATGAGAGTAGATTATTCCCAAGATGTGCTTTCACTGTTACAGTCATGTTACAGTCATAATGCACTTAAACAAACAAACAAAAAATCTTTGAAATCTTTTCATTCCAACTAGTCAGTCAAGAAATGTTCCTAGGATATTGCAAAGGGAGGGGGACTAATTCTCTTTCAACAATCTCCATGTTTTTTTCCAGACCGAGCGGATCCAGTGGACAAGCCCTTCAGTTCCAGGAATAAAGGACTGAAAATATTCAAATTCATCTGTCAAACATTCAGATAACATT